TTAATGGTGCCATGTATCATCAGATTTTCAGTGAAAACCTCCTTCAATCATAAGAGCATTGAAAATGAAACGTGGCTGGGCCTTTCAGCATGACAACGACCCAAAACACACCGCCAGGGTGACGAAGGAGTGGCTTTGTAAGAAGCATTTCAAGGTTCTGGAGTGGCCTTGCCAGCCTCCAGACTCCATAGAAAATCTTTGAAGGGAGTTAAATGTCCATGTTGCCCAGCAACAGCCTCAATTTATCACTGCTCTAGAGAAAATCTGCATGGAGGAATGGGCCAAAATACCAGCAACAGCGTGTGAAAACCTTGTGAAGACTAGCAGAAGACGTTCAACCTTTGTCATTTTGTCTGTCATAGTCGAGGTATACCTATAATGAAAATTACAGGCCTCTCTCATCTTATTAAGTGGGAGAACTATCACAATTGGAGGCAAACTAAATCCTTTGTTTCCCCCACTGTACATTAAAGGGGACACAATATGTAAAACTCACTTTTTGCATCCTTTTGTGTTGCCATCTGGGCTCTACCGCCTGTATAAACAAACACACATTGTAAAACAAACAAAAAAAACTCCAGAAAAAACTTCCAATTTCTGTCATAGTTTGGTCTCAGAAATTGATCACATACACTTTAATGAGCCATTTAAAAATGTCCCTTATTGTGATGTCACAATAAGGAAAGTTAAAAAGAACCCCCTTCACCTGTCTGCGTTCTGGGAGATTTCCACTCTAGAAATGGAGGAGCTGGGGCTCTTTTTAAGCACCTCCTGGATTTCCAAGATTCCACTTTGTAGTTGCCTGAGTGGGAGTTGTCTTGCCTAATCCTTCATTCACAGGAACGAAATCCGAAAATGTCCACCTTAGTTCAAAAAACGTATTTCGTTCCTACATTAAATCATTAAAGGTGAGGTTCACTAAAAACGTTTTTTTTCTTGTTGTTTTTGAATTATAATCAGTCACTCTGGGGTGAAAGTGAAAATTGTCCTTTACCCTGTTTCTTGAATTAGCTGCAAAAAGACAATAGGTGGAGAAAGATTCTGAAAAAGACACGCAGATCTACATCACACTGTAAATTTACATTCATGGACCCAGCCATCTTGGCTTGTGACTGATTTACCATCAAGGAGAGAACAGAGCACATCTCAGCTGTTAGAACTAACTGTTAGCATTAGCAACTTCACAACATGGCGGAACTCCTGCAGACTTGTGTTATTTGTGGAGATAAAACATGAATGTTTCAGAGTGAATGGAGGCAGAGGAAGAGTAGCTTTGCTGTTAGCCAGTCAGAGGCAAGATGTTTGAATATCATGAATATTGGGAGGAAGCAGTAGCTCAGGAGGTTGAGCGGTTGTTCAGTAATTGGAGGGTTGAAGGATCAATCCCGGCTCCTGGCAGAAAATGCTGCTGTTGTGTCCTTGGGCAGGACACCCGCCTGTTGGTGGTGGTCAGAGGGACCAGTGGCACCAGTGCTCAGCAGCCTCGCCTCTGTCAGTGCGCCTCAGGGCAGCTGTGGCTACAATGTAGCTCATCACCATCAGGGTGTGAATGTGTGTGAATGGGTGAATGAATGATTATGTTGTAAAGTACCTTGGGGGGGTTCTAGGACTCTAGAAGGCGCTATATCAATTACAGTCCATTTACCCTTTACCATTAACAGTGGCACTTACTCACTAGGGTCAGCCCCACTCCACTTCATCCCGCCATGCCTGGCCACATTCGTTCCACACTGTCACAGGAGTGCGAACATAATTGAGCACCTGGGCGGTCTGTGGTTTATGATGTCATGAATGCATCTCCGAGCATGTGGGCGGGGCAATAGAGTGTGGAGAAGTCCGCAGTGTCTCCATTATTAAACAAAAGTGGACTGAGCAGTCTTGCTTTTAGGAACTCTCTGACTATATAGCATCCTGCCTTGCTGTGTCTGGCAGCACTGTGTGTGTGTGTGTGTGTGTGTGTGTGTGTGTGTGTGTGTGTGTGTGTGTGTGTGTGTGTGTGTGTGTGTGTGTGTGTGTGTGTGTGTGTGTGTGTGTGTGTGTGTGTGTGTGTGTGTGTGCCTACTCACAGCAGTGAGGGACAGAGAAAAGTGGCTTGTCAGAGGCTCGTTAACTCCACAGCATCCAGAAAGATAATGAATCGCACATGCAGGAGGCCCCCCGTAGGCTGATTCTATCCACCAATTGGAAGCTCCCCCTAATGGTCGGCGTGCTTTTGAGCCAGCCAATCAGTCAGCAGCGGGTGGGTTGGACCAGTTCAGCTCTAGGCAGACCTCCTCGAGAATAGGGCTGAAAAGGCATCCAGTTGTGCACGGGAAAATCCAAGGCCACCTAAATGAGAACACTCCCAGTATGATCCAGGATGAGTGGAGCTGATGCTAGTGTGTGAGGGCCATGAGACTCCAAATCCTGCTGACTAACTTCAACTTCTTGAAACAGGAGCACCAGGGCTTTTAGTCCACAGAGAACAACTCACAAGGCGTTAATTTATGCTACAAACCACTGTAAATGAAATCATGAGTGTAAGCCCACTTTGTGGGCAGGAACTATATCAGTATTATGTGTGGCATTCCCAACAAGCTCAATAGTTGATACGTCTCCTTGGACTGTTCGTGGCTATCTTTGTGCGGCTCTTCGTTCCTGGAAATGTGTCTTTAAAATCTGAATTAGAATTTTTTAGGCGCAATTTATTAGGTTTAGCACATATTTTTTTCTCTATGTGTGTCTCATCTTCAATAACTAATAAAGAAGAGCTTAAGCAGGGCATGGGTGGGCATGGCTAGCAACAGCTCATTTGCATTAAAGTCACAGAGCCCTGAAATGACTCATTCTGGAAGGTACTGAAAATGTCAAGAATAGAGCTGGTGAGATTGTTTTTATTGTGTGCAAAGACTTGATGAACATGTTTTGTACCGACCATAGAACTGTTTAATTTAAATAGAAGTAGAATTAGTTCCTTTTGGATTTAGCGAGAACCGATCAATGTGTCGACATTGTTAAGTATATGTTGATGGCTTAAGATTTTTCCAACGTGATTTGAATACTCTGGATTTCTATTGAAACTGAAGTGGTGTGTGATTAAAGGAAACATGGAGAAGCATGACTTGCTAAGCTTTTGTGTAAACAAAGGCACATTCTGCTTCTTGCAAGTAATTATGACCTGTTGGCTTTTTTTCTGCTGTCTAGTTTTCTTGGTTTTTGGTGGGTGGCTGTTCATCTACTGGATGGATTTGAACCAGCAACCCACCAGTTACTGGGCAAACTCCTACCCCATCAAACAAAGAGAGACATCCTCTGATCCAGGACTAAACTTGGGATTCTTGGAAAAATATTTTTTCTAAAATAAATTGATCCGGACTTGATTGTGGCCTGAAAACCTGAAGACTTCTACACGGCTCTGACCTAAACTCAGACTTTATTGGTGCTCACACAACAGAACAGTGAGGATATGTTTCCAACTTTAAGTCAGAGGAAATGTTCATTATTACCAAGGGAAAAAAAGAGAACATTTTGGGATAAAAATGAATAAAAATTCCAACCGATTGGTTTTATTCAGCAAACGATGACAGCAAACTACATAGTAGAGCATTGGTAACCATCCCAGGAATGTTCTACTTGATTTTAATTGAATTTGATATTTTTCAACAGATGTTTTCGTGTAGGAACTAGCTTGTAGTGTAAAAGGCCATTCCTACATGTAAAACCCATTTTCCAACCAAACCAGCACACACTTTGCCTTCTGACATCGTGCAGTGAGGTGACATAATGCCACAGTAATCGTGGATACTTTGTCTGGAAAGAACCACAAAGGAATGCCTTAAATTCCTTTTCTAAGCTCCTGGAAATGAAACAGAAACGTTACCTCGAAAATTGGAGCAAAAGCATTTTGTTAATGCGCCCAGTAACTTTGTTTTTGAATGGCTCCGTGGGCTGAATCCTCCAACTGTTACACAAGGCATGAGCTGTTGACACGCCAAGATAGGCTTCTATTCTCAAATTGGGGTTTTATAGTCCATGTCTGCAGCTGCCCCTGTGCTTCAGAACGACAGAAACAGGCTGTTGTTGAGGCAGGCCTTCATCGTTACTCCCGGACTTTTTTCCCCCCACTGGGGTTATGGAAAAATGACCAGTTGTCAGCAAGACGTTATTGTATTTATGACTCTGACTGTTTGTGTGAGAGGCAGTTAATTACAGATATTGTTAATTTCACCATGGAGGTATTGCAGCATGACTGTGCTATTGGTCCATTACTTGATACGGGGCTTTCCACGGGTTCTTGTTACCATCAAACGTCCCAAAGCTGAGCAGACGGAGCAGACCCCGTCCACATCTGGCTCATTGAGCTGATGAAAAGTGCAGTTCCTGTAACTCCTCCACTCAAGGACAAACTCTGTCAATTTGCTCGACAAGGACAGACTTGTGTCCGGACGAAGCACTCCAACCCGTTCCCATACGGTCGGTGCAGCCTCATTCCTGCGGCTCCCTGACTATATGACTGACACGGCTTTCCTCAGGCAGTGTGCATAGGCTTAGTCTGGCAGAGTTAAGTGTGTGTGGAAATCATGAGCAGAAGTTCAGTTACACACACTCGGATCCGAGGGCTCACACAGGCTTTCGTAAGCTCTGCCCTCGGAGCAGCAGAAGACAATAATTTTCCAATTAGATAGAAATAAAAGTTTATGACTATGTCTGAAGATGCCTGTCAGACATGCGAAGAACGCATAAAACGGTCCTAAAGTACCAGTGATTTACTACTGAAAATGCTTTTGGTGAGTTTAATCTGAAAATTGGGGGTGGGTGGGGGTGGATGGGAGGGGGGGGGTCAGTAGGCTAGGCCGCAGGACACTGAGGACAGCTCAGCATCAAGTCTCATCAGGTGTGTTTGGCTGCTCCGGATCTGTTCCTGCTCCTGGCGATCAGTAAACCCAAATTACTTTCAGAGTTGATGTCAAACAGCAAAATGTTGCATGTCTTCATTCTTTATTAAGAAGCAGAGCCATGTTTATGCTTCAGTGCATGAATAAAGTTTTATTTTACCAAACTCCTGGGACATAAACATGTAGAAGTAACTGCATGAGCAAACTGCAGAAACCGATCTAGAGACTCCAAACTTCATCTGCAAGGCGCCGCCACATCAGGCGCCTTTATTCTCCAAATATCTTCAGTCGTATTTTCAGCAGGATGCGGTCCTCTGAAAAAAATAAAATAATAAAAAAGCAGGATAATTTTAGCTACGGAACTAAAAATGGCTACATTTCTATTGATCTGTGAGCTATTTTCAACTTGACATCGTGTTATCTGTGATCCCAAAGGAAACTGAGCTTTACTGTAAATATCTGATGGGAAAATATCGCGGGATTTAAAAAGATAGACATATAAGTAAATAAACAAACAAACAAATAAATAAGGGGTCTTGACAGATTGTGATTAGTGGAAGCTGAGAAGTTTTTAATGGTTTCTAAAATGCTGTCTGAGCCACTCTGAAGTGTGTTTCTGTGTAAAACGTGTAAATAATGAATATATTACCCGTTGTAACTGCCTTCCTAAGCAGCCTTTGTCTGGACGGCTGGTCCACGGCCAAAGTGTCTTTCTGCCGTCAAGAAACAACTTCAGTCTCCTAAATTTTACAGAACGCTACTTCATAAATATATTAAATATTCTAGTTATTAGAAACTGTAAACATCCCAGCAGCAGTGAAAAGCAGCACATCTGGTGGTTTTTATGAATCAGTGTGAAAATGGAAGCGTTTGGAGCATCTTCACTTTGGTCTTGGTTACCTTTGACCTCGCTGTTTCCTTTTCAGTCCTGTTAGCTATTTCTGTAAGCTGAGGCCATTTAGGAATCTGTCTAATGGGTAAGACTAATTAGTTCTTCCCCTTTAACTATGCCTTTGACATCCTCATCAGCTAAAGCGTTACATGCTGCGGTGTCCCGTGAACCCCTGTAAACAAAAATGACCTCTAGAGAAAGGACAACTCCTCCAAACGCTGCAGAAAAGGCTGAAAATGACTCATTTGTTTGAGGCTGGCGTGTCATTTGTAAAACATTTGTTATTAAGGAGACAGATTTAGAGATGCTAAGATGCCTAGAATAAGACACTTATAATAAACTGCATACTATATTATATTTCTGTGTATTGTTATAATATTACATGAATATTTCTAATCCATCTCCACCCAAATCCAGAAGGAGAAAAACTGCAGCATCATTTTTTTAAAGTTTTCTTTTCCGACACACGTCTCCTTTACCAGGTCAGTGAAGTAGGACACGCTGTCTGAAAAGAGAACAAGCTGAGGAGTGTGTGATTGTGTGTGTGTGTGTGTGTGTGTGTGTGTGGGAGAGGGGTATTGAAGTCATTACCTGTGTGATCTTCATACTGCTTGTCATGCTTTGTTTGTCTTCATCCAACTGTCATCCTTCAGAGGGACACAGCAAGCAGCTGTAATTTGTAGGACAGCTTAGTTCAGCATGTGCATGAAATTGAGAATGTTACTCATGGAGGATGTGTGTGTGTGTGTGAGAGTGAAAGAGAGAGAGAGAGAAAGAAAGAAAGAAAGAAATAAAGAAAGAAAGAAAGAAAGAAAGAAAGAAAGAAAGAAAGAAAGAAAGAAAGAAAGAAAAAGAGAGAGAGAGTGTTTGTCCGTAGGGAAGAGATTGTTGAGGAGGTACCTCAGCCAGCCCCTGCCTGACCCCTGCTCACCCATTCTCTCTCTCTCTCTCTCTCTCTCTCTCTCTCTCTCTCTCTCTCTCTCTCTCTCTCTCTCTCTCTCTCTCTCTCTCTCTCTCTCTCTCTCTCTCTCTCTCTCGCTCTCGCTCACTCTACCCTGGATGGGTCTCCTCCTAAACATGTATGCAGCTGTTATCTGGCAAGTGTTGCTGCATGTCGACTGTGTGTCATCTTCATGAATGCATGTTTTTTAGATTTGTATTTTACATAAAAGTCACAAGAAGTCCTTTTTGGATTTTCATTTCATGAACGTTTGAGTGTTTTTTGTGCTTTAATCGAGTACAAGCTGGAGGATGCTTGCTAAACCTTGCCTCAGGTGTTTTTGTAACCGTGAAGCCAGACTGAATATGAACATGCTTATTAGTCCAAGGAGAAGCTGAGGATGTCTCCAGTGACCACATCTGGAGGTCACCTGAGAGAGCTGCTGGCGCGCTCTGCTGAGAGGGTTATTGGCCCAACTCCTGCGTCTCTCTTTCTTGTCTTCTCATAAAACAGCCAATCGTACACACATCAGGTTTTCAAGCTGTTGTTTTTTGTGCTGTTTCTGAATTTTTCTTATTTTTGTCTGTCCCCTTTTCCATTTTAGCTGCGGCTCCAAGGTTAAAACCCATCAAGAATCCCATATTAGTGGACGAGGGGAGCAAACTCATAGTAAAGTGCGAGGCCACGGGAAGCCCTGTCCTGACCTACACGTGGTTCAAAGATGGTAACGAGCTGAAGAAAAACAAAAAAGTCAAAATCAGAAGTAACGCGTAAGTACAAAACACCAAGTCCCGGGGGGGGGGGGGGGGGGGGGGGGGGGGGGGGGTTTGCTGTCTGCAGTTGTCCTGGTCTATTGTCTGTTTCTTCTTTGGTGCTTTTAGTTCCAGTTGTTAAGTTTTCTTCTTTGTTGTTGTCTTTTTCAAAATGAAGGTAGATTTTAGTATTTATTATGTTTTTCTGTTTTGCTCCTAGTACATTCTTTGAGTGTAGATGTGTTTGGTCCTCAAAGGCCACCATACGTGCACTTGGAAACAAAACGATTGCAACTAAATGTGTTTAATTCCCCTTATTTCTGACATTTGACTGCATGTGTAATTTGCATTTTTCTGATATATTTTTTTAAATCTTCATCGGGTTCAGGCGTCCTGATTTACAGGTGTCTACTTTTCCAAAACCCTCCCTGTATACTTGGCAGCACTGATTTAAATTAGCATCCAGGCTACCTGACATTGCTGTCGCCAGCAAGTTTTATAATGATGAGCTGGAAATTAACAGTTGCATAACTGAATCAACAAGCTCAGAGCAAAAAACATGAATAAAAGAAAGAAATCGCTTCAACTTGCTTCAATCCTGTAATTACCCGTCAGTGACACAATGTCTGCTGATGAGCTAAAGTTAAACAAGGTTGCTTTTGAGAAGAAAATGCCCCAAATAAGAGATTATGGTACAGTAGAAAACCCTTAGTGCAGAATAAAATCTAAACAGGTGTGGTTTTAAAAACTATTCAAACATTTTATCCAACGCTTTTCTCATTAAATCTATTCCACCATAAACAAGTGATCACGAGTCGCTGCTGAGTTCATGCCACGCCGGTTCTTGGCCTACTGTCTACCTCGTCATTTTATTTTTTCTCCCTCATGTTTCCACTTGTCGTGTTTCCATGCTATTTCCTCCCTGCCCTGATTCCCTTGACTCAGCTGAGTGAGTGTTGTCACCCACAGGAAATCCTCCAGAGTCCAGATCAGCAAAGCAAAACTGGAGGATTCTGGGAATTACACGTGTGTGGTGGAGAACAAGCTGGGGAAGGACAACTCTACTGGCACCGTCAACGTCCAAAGCAGTGAGTACCGACTCCTAAGCAACAAGCAGAGTTGCACAGATGCACCAGCTTTGTTGTTGTCATGACTGTTCTCTTGCCAATTGAGTGATCTAAAGACGCGGTCACAAACAGGCATGCAGCAGTAGTAACACGCATGGAGAACAACTGTCCACACATGTGGTTCTGGCCCATTACTCAGAGGAATGGTGCATTGTACTTGGCAACGAGTTGAAATAGATGCAACAGAAAGTTTGTCATTCAATTCAGTTTGCTGGAGATACGAAATCCCCCTTGAAATCAGATGAAAAGGTTCATATCTAAACAAATAACACGCATTAACGAGATATGGAATTATCTAAAAGCCGGTGCGTTCTTACTGAGCAGTGAAAGCATTTCTATAACAGCTGCTTCCGTTTAGGAAGGTGGTGAGGTTGTGTTTGCTGCAGGAAGTGTTAGCGGTAAACATGTGGCTACTCCACTGCTTATTTAGGTTGATGAAGCCACAATTCAAATAAATAAAACAGAAGAAAGCTAGTTTCAGGGAACTTTAAGCTGCTTTTGCTTCTCTTTCAGCCTAATAATGGAACCAGATGATCCAGAGGAGATGCTCGGGGGAACGTGTGAACAGCATTTGCTGCTGAATGTGAATTCTGTCAGTTAAAAGTTCAGATCTTCTGAAGCGAGGTGCTGTGGAAAGGAAATGTCATGAAACATGGTATTCTCTGAGAAACAAGTGGAGAAATATGCATTAGCACCGAGCTAACGGCTAGTCTGTGTGGAAAAGTTGATTCATTTCATATTAAAGGGATACTTTGCTACTTATTCATATTTTTAAACAAATTTCTTGCGCCAGTATGTGCTAAAATGACCCTTTACAGGGTTATTCAAAGGCCACCCAGCCCCTGTTGCCCCCTGCGGCCAGAATATCCCACTTGCAACTTCAAACTGGCGGGCTGATCTGTTGGGACTTGATCTGGCATACCTGGCGCTGCACGTTTCCTGCATTTTTTAGATCATGAACACAGCTGATTTGTTTACTTTTGTGATGAATCACTTCTGTAGACACTAAGGAAGGCTGGGGAGACATTTCAGCTGTTAGATTAAGGCGTTACGAAGACAGATGCACAGCGGAGATGGATTTAGCTTTCGGTTCTACAAACAAACACAAGGGAGTGCTAAAAGCAAGCCAGGAACTTTCTCCCCTTTAAAAACAACCCTAGCATCAAAAGTGTTGAAGCAGTTTGTGTGATGAATATTTTACAAACCTTATACATGCGTAAATTTTGCATAACATGGTAATTGACTTGGAAATCGGTGGTTTTTTGCAACAGAAGTTAGCGATGAAGCTACCTGATGGCTAGCTGGACATGTGTAATATTTCTGTCAGCATAATCCTGTAAAGTGAAGCTGATGGTAGCATATAAAGAAGTGCACTCATGTGAAATATTTGAGGTTAACAATGTTTAAAACTGTTTTGGGTAGCTGCTAGCTTACTTGTGCTAATCTAAAAGCTAATCCAAAAGCATATTTGTGCTTTACCTTCACTGGACTTGAATGTGGAGTGGCTTCAGAAATGTAATAGTTGTTTGATTTCTCACCACAGAGGAGTAGTTCTGACAGCAAGGTTTAGAAGTTTGGACGTTTGGCTCAGTGTTCACATGAAGCTCCTCGCTCTTTCTTTAAGGCCACTTTTTAGAGCTATTGTTTACTGTTAGAAGACTTAAGCTGAATTATTAGAGGAACAGCTCTTTTCAGATAAAGAAAGGGCCCATTGTGTTTGGAAATGTGGAGATCCTAAGGAGTTTTAGCATGCAGGCTTCACATCCAGCAAACAACTTTACAGAAAAGAAGTCATCCGTCTTGCGTTTGGAAGCGCTGCACGCTACTTTGACAGCTAAACAGCTTCTGTTGGGTTTTATAAGCAGATCGTGTGACTCCTCCTTCTATGTGCTTACAGTTTGACACTTTGCTTTATCCCAGCGTTATGACTCAGTGTATCACTTTACTCATGACAATGTAATGTGTAACGGGTCGCTGCCACATGATTCCACAACACACTGTGATAACATTTATGAAAAAAAGGCAGCATGACTATTATGTTAAATGGTAATTAAATAAAAGAGGTTAAAAATCTGGAGACTCGCTGTTGACAGCACCTGTTTGCCAGAGTATTCACTGGAAGCCTAGGAACATGTGACTCAAGGGGCTTGAAACTGTATATGACGATCTTAGCAGGCCAAAGTGTTGGTAATGCAAAAATATCAAAGGAAATCTAAAATTACAAAGCAGTGAGCATGTGGGGTGATTCCCACAGTAGTCATAATGGATAAAACATGACTGAGCAGTGATACCGTGCAGTGTTTTCACTTGCAGCACAGACTATTTAAAACAAGTTGAACAGGATATCCTTTTATGTAGTGGAATTATATGATAAACAAGCTAGCAACTGTGAAAGTCTATGTTAAAGCACATTTGTCCCTTTTCATTGACATCCGTGCCCCTCCATTCACTTTCTGCACATGTTTTTGTACTAATTCATCCCTGTGCATTCTCTGTGTGGTCGTCTGTCAGCGTTGACATTTCCCTAAATCACATGTGGATGCTCCAACAATGGCATCACTGTATTTTCTTTCATGCCCTGTGATCACTAGATGTCTGTCACTGTGTGTTTTGTTTGTGTACGTGTGGATGTGTTGTTAACTGTTCAATAAAAACGTCACATTGCGTTCCAACAGCACGCCTACTTTTGTCACGCTTCAGGGGAGAAGGCAAGACAGGGCGAAGCTGGGGTGATAAGTTCTATAGGAAGCGGGGAGACTCACCTGGAAATACAAACATTGATTACCCACAACATTATGACCACCCACCTAAGGATGAGTGGGCCAATTGTTTCGCTGCAGAGATAATTCTGAGCTGAGTAAACAGAGACACCTCTAGACCCTGAAGCAGCTCTTAGGCTGGTGGATACAAGGTGGGGCTTTCGCTTGTTTATGTCGAACACTCAGACAGAGATTTCATAGGCAGCCCAATTTTCTTATGTTCCTTAAATTTGTTTCATACTTTTGACAAAAACAATTGCGAGGCGCTGAAGATAGGCGCCAGTCCTATATAAAGTGCCGCGGCTGTTTACAGCAGACTTTCAGACTCGGAACGGCTTTGCGGCCCAACTCAACCGCCGGTACAAACCCAGCCGCAGTTTTGATAACTTTAAAATACTATTGATCTTAAAATATTCAAATAAATAGCGTACTTACCCATTTTTAATGATTTTGAGTCTCACAAAACACGACGACAAGTCTGATCACTTACAAACAATGGAGTCCCTTCCCGCTTCCTGTTCTGAAGTCCTGCGTGATGTTGTGACAATCACGCGACTTTCCAAGAGGTGCTCAGCGGCTCGGCGCATCCTGTGGGACCACTTGACTTCTCAAAATTTCGGGTGTGACACGGTGTGGCGCGTCCACCTCCTGTGTGCCCCAGGCTTCACTCCATCTGTCACAGTCGTCGTGTCCTTGGACAAGATCCTTCACCTTCCTTGCCTGCTGGTGTTGGGGTGGTGGCCTTGCTTTGTCACTGTGTGCTAGGCCAGCTTTGGCTACATTGTAGTTCATCACCACCAGTATCCAGTGTTGGGAGTAACACCGTTTAAATATGACGGCGTTACTAACGACGTTCTCTTTTAGGTAAGGGAATAATCTAATTAATTACTTTTCCACTGTTGCAACGCTGTTACCGTTACTGGGGACGGAAGGTTGTGCGTTACTATGTGCTTGTCGAACGTTTAGCAACAGTGTGAGGCTTTCTGACCGCCACACTTCAGCTGCAGCCAGGGAGAGAGAGGTGTCGGTAACGCACTCACAAACACGATGATGATTGGCCGGGTGGGCGGATACCCTCAGTGTCTCAGTCGCTGCCTGCTGTAGACCCAACAGAGCAGTGATGGAAATCACGCCGTTTAAAATAATCACGTTAATAAAAAAAATTTTTCTTTCTGTAACGAGCAAACTAATTAATTACCGTTTTCTTTTAGCAAAACTATCATTTCTGTTACTGATAAGGAAATGCGTGCGTTAAGCACTGCGGTGTGTTGAAGCTGTCATCAGCTGATCAGGAGCTAAAGAGGTAGATGTTTTCATCCAAGCGCATCACGGCCCGTGAAGAACAAGGAAGACGCGATTAATATCTACGGCTGCAGACCCGCAGATTCGTTGCTGCAGGTGTGGATCTGTGGGGGGTCTGCAGCCGTGCCCTTAGTGTGACAGCAGGACATCCTGAAGGTCCGCTCACCTGTTCACCACTCAGACGTCCTGATCTTCTACCTTCCTAGATCATCCAGCTGTAACCTGTTCCTGATCATGTCTTTAGTCCCGCTGTAACACTGATGCACCAGTCTCAGACGTCATGGAGCTCCGGTGTTACTAGAACTACCTGTGTGTGTTTACCACCCAGCTTCAGCTCTTCTGTGGTTGGGTCTGACCCAAGTTACTAAATGTGAGTCCTCCATCAGGCTTGTGCCTCTTCTAGTGTCATTTTAAAGGACTTTATTTATTTATTTAACCGTTACTAGATTACGAGCAACAGAAATGCTACTAATAACACACAATTATGTGAAGCTGGAAAAATTAAAATACTGTACAAAATTACATTCATTTCTGTAATTTAACTAGACTGAGAGACCATTTAAAGGCTCGGGAACATTTACATGTGTTTCTATTTGCAGTTTTAAATTTTAGCTGATTGGGGTCTTGTTAAATATCGCACAGTGACCTTTTAATAGTCTAGATTAGTGTAATGCTCCTGTTAGTAGTTCCTCCTGTTAAGTGCTTATTTATTTAAATTATTCAGGTTTATAAAAAACATTTGGACACACATTTTATTATGATCCAGTCACTAGTCATTTATATCTCACTATTGTAGTAATTCTTGCATGCTTTAATGAAAAAAGTAACTAAGTAGTTATTTTTCTCGGTAATTAGTTACTTTTATAATCTTGTAACTAAGTTAGTAACTGAGTTACTTTT